TCTGATGATCTTTTCACCCAAGAGGTCTGGGTCTCTGCCTTGAATTTGATCCTTTCATCTTCTAAGCATACTTTCCATCAGAGTGGCCCAGCTGTCATTATGCCCCAAGCAGGCCTTTCGGTCCTTTCCTGATGACCCACGCTAAGTCTTCATTTCAGACGTTTCTGCTGCTTAGTAGGGGCTGGCACAAAAATAACATGTTTCCAAGTCTAAGCTCCTAATAACTGTGCTGACCCTCTGAGCATGGAGGAGGCAGAGACCCCCGGTTTAGAGAGAGAACGGCTATGTTTAAATAACAGCCTGGGAAAGCTGGGCATATTTAAATCAAGAAATATGATTTGTTCCTTTTGGATTCTAATTTCTCCATCATTGTACAGCAGGTGATCATAGTGTATAATTATGTAAACTGTAAAGTCACCATACAAGTATAGTAAGTCCTCACTTAACATCATCAATAGGTTCTGCAACTGTAAGCAAAACAATGCATAATAAAACCAATTTTAGCACGGGCTAATTGATAGAAACAAGATTTAAGTTCTAACAGCATCTCATCAACATTATAATGAAATGACGGACAAAACAATGTTATCCAAAGACCTGCTGTATTAATCATTGTTAGTAGTGCTATAATTAAAGGTTGACCATATGGTACTTATGGTGCTACTGATTAGAATAATTTCAGAACAGAACCAAATTATTACTAGTTTCCTTCTTTAACCATCTGGAATCTGGCTTCCCCAAAGCTATTTTAGAAATCCAAATGAAGGCCAGGGTAGGCCCTCCCTCCCCACTCATTGCATGTCTTGGATCACCTGTCTCCCCAGGTTACCCCTGCTCTCTCGTGATAAATGCTCAATGATGATACAGATGCCATTTATGATAGATAGAACTATTCAGTTAATAAGCTAAGTAACATACACATTATCATCAAATTCTGGTATTAAAAAGACCAAATTATTTGATCTGGTGTTGCTGGATAGTGGCATTATCGCTTGCCTGGCCATGATTGCTATTATTTTGACTTGTTTTGCCCTGACCGTTGCCTCAAGGCTCACAGTAAACGCCATGCCCACATCCTGATGGTGTTGCTGCTGGGCTGTCGTACCGTGAACTGAGGAAAACTCCACACAGTTCTGCCCCCGGCCCTAATGGAGGTCCCCCAACTTCTAGATCCCTGCCTTGTGCTGAGAAGAAACTGTGCCTTTCTCATTTCCTTTGGCCTTTTCCTTCCTCAGGCCCGATTGCTGAAAGAGTTGGAACACAAAACGACCCAGGAATCTCTCCACCGGCAGCAGCTGGATTTACTGAAAACCTCCAGCATAGAGAGGCTCTTGGAAGATGTGGAGCAAAAAGAACAGCACCTGCAGCTCCTGGCTGAAGAGGCTGAGCGGGCTGCTAGACTGGGCCAGCTCCAGAGGAGGAAAACTGAGAGAGAACTCCGACAGGTAACTCCAGCGACAGGTAGCAACAACTCGAAAGCGGGTCAGGCTGCCACAGCAGAACCTGTCATTCTTCCCGTCTTTTCCATGCCTCTCATGCCCCCCAAGGCAGTGTTTCTCCACCTTCGTCACTTCTGGGCCCACCAAGAAAATGGAAATATTTATGCCCACCCTGGGCGATTGTTCCAGCTGCTTATGTGAGAGATGATGGCTTGCCTACGGCAGGGCCCAGTATGTTGGCACCTTCGTAACCCACTTGAAAAACACATTTCTACCTGGTTCTAATCCTTGAACCGGGTATCCTTTAGAAAATCATGCAAAAGCAACAAGTACTATGGAGGGTGGATTCCTGCAAGAGCCCCCATGGCCAGCAGTGGTTTCTTTATTTTATATATTTCTTTACTTTTAATATATTTTTGTTGACTTCAGAGATGAAGGGAGAGGGAGAGAGAAATAGAACCGTCAATGATGAGAGAGAATGTAAGTCCTTCATTTGAATTACCTCATTTAATCCTGCACGCCTCACACCGGGGATCGAACCCACAACCCAGGCATATGCCCTGACTGGGAATCGAGCCTCAACCTCCCGGTTCATAGGTCAACCCTCAATCATTGAGCCATGCAGGCTGGGCAGCAGTGGTTTCTTTAATCTATCTCCAACCTTGAATTCCAAGGGCAGACTTTGACCCATCTTGGAGAGCATGCATGTCCTTGCCTACCTCCTGCTCCTGGGGGAGTCATTTAGGGCATAGACTGCTTGATTCACACCCCAGGCCCCCAACTGTGTGGCTTTGGGTAAGGTCTGTGGCTCTAGTGTCCTCATTGGTGCAACGGAGAATAATGCGCTCACATTGTGGGATTTGGGGGAGGATTAATGAGGTCCGCCAAGTGAAGCACTCAGAACAGGGACTGACACAGCTCTCTGTAAATACTGGCTGTTTGTCTTTTTGTTGGGAATATGAAGGTGGACAACTTAGGAAATAGGTAGACAGACCTGGCTTCAAATCCTGACCCTGCCACTGACTGGTTGTGTGACCCTGGGTGAGTCACTGCACTATCCTCGGTGAAGCGGAGGTGGGACATGCTGACACATTGTCAAGCATGTTTCTTTCCTTTGCTAGTATTTTTCCATTGGTTTAGCCATGCCTGGCTGAGGGAGACTTATATTCCTGGGTTGGCCTGGACCCACACTCTCCCCAGGAAGCCGGGGAACTAACGTACGCAGCACCAGAAAGCATCTCTGCTTCCCAAGCACTTTCCCCTCCAATGAGGAGGCAGCTTGCCCAGGAGCGCAGTGTGAAGCTGGACGCTTTCCAGCGTGTAGAAGAGCGACAAACATGTTTCCCCCGGCTCCCCGGCCCCTCGTGTGTAATGAGGATCCCACACAAATCCCCATAGTACATAAGAGGAACCTTAGGCCTAATTTATATTAGGACGTTTTCCTAGCTCTGAGGATCTGATCATCTACTGGAAGTCAAACTACACTTGAAAACATCCTCATATACAAGGAACCACCACCCTTTCACATTTGCAAGACAAGCCTGTGGCCATAGCTCTGAAAGTTTAGGGGCCTTCTTGCTGGGTCTCTAGAAACAGGATTTGAAACATATGGTGGAATGTTTGAGATTAGCATGTGTATTAGCTTAGGCAAGCTGCTGTAACAAATTACCACAAACTGGGTGGCTGAAAACACCAGGACTTTGTTCTCCCACAGTTCAGGAGGCCAGAAGTCTGAGATCAAGGTGTCGTTCCGTTAGAAGGCTCTGAGGAAGCATCTGTTCCTTCTGGCTGCTGGGGCCTGCCTGCAACCCTGGCGCTCCTTGCCTTGTAGCTACCTCACTCTAGTCTCTGCCTCCCTTGTCACATGGGCTGCACCTGTGTGCTCCCTGTGTGTATAAACCCTCTTCTCTTCTTATAAGGACACCAGTCATTGGAATTAGGGCCCACCCTTACCAGCGTGACTTCATCTTAACTTAGTTACATCTGCAAAGACTCTTTCCAAATAAGATCACATTTTTAGGTTCTAGGTGGACATAGATTTTGGGGGGGCTATTCAATCCACTGCACTATTATTACTTTTTTATATATTTTTTATTGATTTCAGAGAGAAAGGGAGAGAGAGAGAGAGAGGGAGAGAGAGAGAGAAACATCAGTGATGAAAGAGAATCACTGATTGGCTGCCTCCTGCATGCCCCTACTGGAGATAGAGCCCACAGCCCGGTGCCCTTGACTGGAATCGACCTGGGGACCCTTCAGTCCACAAGATGACACTCTATCCACTGAGCCAAACCAGCCAAGGCTATTACTTTTTTATCATTAAAAACTTAGGCGATAATAAAAATAAATTTCAAAAGAAAAATTGCCTGTGATCTGTGCAGATGAGGTGCACTTTGGACCCAGGGACTCTCTGGCCAGGAACCGTGAGTCAGCTGTGCAGGGAAAAGCCGCATGAGTAAACACAGAGGCTGCCTCCGGGTGTGGGCCCTCAATCAGGGCCTCGGGCTTTTCCTGAAGGCGGGGAGCTGAGCTGAGCACAGAGGTCTGGGAGAGATCGTCTTTCCTCTGCCTAAAACCGTGCAGGGGCTCCTGCATCCAGGTCCTTGGGGCAGGGGCATGGCTTGGGCTATGCGGTCCTCTGTGCACAGGGCCCTCCCCCCTCCCCTTCCCCCCCCTCTCCCTCTGGTAAAATAAACATAAAAGATATAACTTTGTGATTAAACACTGACTTTTATAAGGTAAAAAGGGGTTCCAAGGGCTGCCTCTGCTCTTTTTTGGTTAAGTTCTTGGCCTTCCTTGACTTCTTGATGCTCAGAAGGCTGAGTGCAGCCTGACCAGGACTTGTATTCCTGGGGTGGCCTGGACCCACACTCTCCCCAGGAAGCCGGGGAACTAACGTACGCACCCCAGAAAGCATCTCTGCTTCCCAAGCACTTTCCCCTCAGATGAGAAGGCAGCTTGCCCAGGAGCGCAGCGTGAAGCTGGACGCTTTCCAGCGCGTAGAAGAGCTACAAAGTCAGCTTAATGACGCTGTGAGGTCGTCTGTCCCGATGAGCTCACCGGGAGGTAAGCACAGGCACTGCTCTGGCCAGAACAAGCTCCCAGGGCCCCGGCTCAGAGGTGAAGGAGGGTCCCAGGGACTAGCCATAACTACCCAGGGGTTATTGAGTGGGTACGCCATGCTGTGTGTTGAATGAATGAATGATACATGAATGAATTAAGTCTTCATTCTGATTTGCAGGCAGAATTTTCTACTTTGGTTCTCCTTGAGTTCCTGCCATCCTACATTAAATGGTTCCAGTCAGAAAAACTGGTCCCAGGAGTGTGTAACATACCACCTAAAGAACATTGGGGTCCTTCACTGGGTTTTGAAGCATCTCAATGCCTTGGGATATTAATGAGCACATTTCTGAGAGGTTATTCATAAAGTCCACTATGGTTCTTGGGTGCTGGGAGCTTGAGGAGTTTTATGGAAATGGCACAGTCCTCTGGGCTATGCAGCCCACAAGCAGCATGGAACCGACGCCAGACCCCAGGGTGTCTCTACACTGGCTTCCTCCCCTGTGAGATGAGGACTAAGTAAAGTCCAGGTTCTCTCCTGGCTCTGACTGTCGGAAATCTCACCAAATGCCCGTCACCACGATTTGCCTCTTGTTAAGATCAGCCCTGCCTCTTCTTTTCTGTTCTGCAGTGTAGCCTGGTGATTGAGTGCGGGGGCTTTGGAGTAAGGTAACCAAGATTCAAACCTCGTCCCTCACACTTCCAGCTATATGACCTTAGACCAGTTAGTTAGCCTCTTCGTAAAATGGAAACAGCTACCTCAAAGGGCTATTGTGAGGATTAAAGGACATCACGCATGTCTGGCACACAGTATAGATAGTATAGCAGCACTAAGTGTGCAAATGCCGGTTACTACACTCTCGTGTCTGTGTTGTACTTTTATGTTTCCTTCTGGCCACTTACCCGTGTGGATGATGTGAGAAAACACAGCCTTTCAGAGGCAGAAAGATCCGTTTCAAAGATCAAGATGACAAAGATCAAGTTACTTTGGGTTTACTGAGAGCAGGGCTGGGCAAGCCCAGGGGCCCTCCCCACTGCCTCTGTGCCTGCAGCCTGGGCCCTGACAGCAGGCTGGCGTCCCTTGCCCCAGGCACCCAGTCCAAAGGGGAAGAACATCAAGAACATCCAAGGGCCCTATTTTGGCCACTGGCCCTGAGTGTGACGCAGTCCTTTCCACATGTCCTGGATTTTTGTTTCCCCCCCCTCCTCTTCCCCTCTGCCTTTTTAATCCCTTTCTGGGTTAATGTGTTCATGTAACTGTGTGACGCAGTCCTTTCCACATGTCCTGGATTTTTGTTTCCCCCCCCTCCTCTTCCCCTCTGCCTTTTTAATCCCTTTCTGGGTTAATGTGTGTCATGTAACTGCCACCCATGTCCTTCAACACCTGCATAATTACAAAGGAGAGCCATGGGGCATGAGGAAGGTGGGGGAGCCCTAATTCCCAGGACTGGGGGTGTAGCAGGAGGAAGAGAACCTTTTTCCCAGGAAGCAGAGGTAGAAGTCACTCCCAGGCTCTGCCCCCATCTGTGCCCTTCTGCAATGACAGGAGGAGGGTTAGCTGAGGACTTCCTGCTTGTAGACTTATTAGAGGGGAGGGCCTGGGTCACACCAGTCTGTTCAGTACCCAGCACTCCAAGGGGACAGGTACTATCACCCACACTACCAGTGCAGCAGGGTAAGTCAGCGGGAAGTGTGGGGTCTCTCCTTTCTGCAGGGGCGGCAGCAGCAGCCTCCCTGCTCCCCACATCAGAAGCCGAGCCTTGGTGAAGGAGCAAACTCTCCTAACTTAGCATTAACATGGATTCCCCTAGGAACTTGCAACTCCTGAGGAACTATCACTTGTGCCAGTACAGTGATTCTCAAAACACTTCAGGGGAAAAAAGGAAATCAATTGACTCACAAAACTGTGAGATAGTCAGTAGTAGACTGGCTTCAGTTAGTTTGATGAAGGTTGGAACTATTCCTTAGTTCCAACTTCTCCCTCCATCGCTGGGCTCTGAGAATGCTGAGAGCAGAAAGGAATGCTGGGAAGCAAGATGCCACCACCGCGTAGCTTCCATCCTCTGTTGAGCAGGAATGGGGTGTGGAGATGGGACAAAAACAATTGGGCTCTGGGCTCTGCACCCAATTCTTCATTTTATTTTTATTTTTTAGAGGGAGAGGGAGGAAGGGAGGGAGAGAGAGAGAAACATTGATGTGAGAGTGCAACATTGATCAGCTGCCTCTCGCACAACCCCTACTGGGAATGGAGCCTGCAACCTTTCATTGCATGGGACAACGCCCAACCAACTGAGTCACACCGGCCAGGGCTATGTGCCCTATTTTATTTATTTTTATTTTTTAATATATATTATTTTAAATATGTTTTTTATCAATTTTTAGAGGAGGAAGGGAGAAGGATAGAGAGATAGAAACATCATCGATTGGCTGCCTCCTGCACACTGTCCACTGGGGATCGAGTCCCAACCTGGGCATGTCCCCTGACCTGTAATCTAGCCGGTGACCTCTTGGTTCCTGGGTCACCACTCAACTGCTGAGCCACATGGTCGGGCTCTGTGCCCAATTTTAAACAAAGCACTTAAGACAGAGACTAAGCTGTGGGCTTCGGCTCAGTTCACACAGTTTTCCCCTGGAGCTGAGGATGGGGTCAGCCCACTCTCTCCTCTTTGCAGCAATTATTTTAAATATTCCTGGTCTCTTCAAGCCTTCAGACACTGTCCTTCTCATCCATTTCACAAAGAAGTTACAAGCCTCTCAGATGAAAACTCCCTCGACTTCCTGTCCCCAGCCTACCTACATCGATATTGCTGTTAAATTTAAAAAGGTGCCCTTTCCTTCCTCTGGCCAATCCTGCTGCACAAGATCCCATATACTCTCCTACCTTCTCCTACCTTCTCAGGCACCTTGAACTCATCGTTATCTGCTTCCTGTCTATACATCTATCCATTTCCCACACATCTATTCTTCTAATCTTGTAATCAGCAATTATTGAGCATGTATGTGCCAGGATCATAAAATCCATTGTAAAAAAAAATTAACATCTATCCAGTTGCATGAGCCAGAAATCGGAGATCTTCTCCTCACCCTGCCAACCCAGTTAATTACTAACTTGAAGATCTCTCAGTCTGTCCACTTCTCCACACAACAGTCCAAGTCACCCACCATCTCCTTCTCTTTCACTTGGTCATGATACCCCATAGGCAAAAGACTCTATCTAGGTTTTGACATTTTTGACTCAAAATTAATGAAGCTGGATTATATGCCTATTTTAAGCTTAAAATTTTATAAATTCCATCTAGGTCTGTACATTGCAATTAGAGATATAATTTAGCATTTTTAACATTATAGGCCTTATATCCCGGGCTCCGTACTCCCTCAGTTCTGCTTCCGCATCATCCAGATACTCCCAGCAACACCTTTTAAAGACTAACCTTATGGGCAATAAAATAACAGGAAGGATTCAGAGGCCGAAGACTGTAAGTAATGATAAATTTAAATATATATATAAAACAACGAAAAACGTAGACATGAAGTTATGGTTTTAGGGTCGCTTCAAACTTACATTAAAAATTATATGTCAGAATCTTATCTAGGTGCTTCCTTAGGTCTGGATAATAGGATTTGTCCATCAATAGCTGCTGAATCAGTGTTTGTGGAGGGAAAGAGGGCCCAGGGCTTCCTACTCTGTGGTCTTGCTGATGTCACTCCTCAGAATAAAATTCTGATATTGACATAATTAAGCCTGAGAGCACTTACTCAATTACAGTTCAGTAAATACGCGTAAAAGTCAGTTACGTTCTGCCTCTCAATTTCCTCCCCTTTTTTCACTCATTTACAATAATCAACTAGTAGCATCAGATTCCTCCTTATCTGAGTTCCCTGGCAGAACAGAGTTTCAGAAGTCAGTTTAACACACGTGAGAAATCTGCCCTCCAAAGAAATTCTTGGAATGCAGATTAGCTTGAGGTATAGCACATACTTGAAGATTTATTAAAAATATTTCAGCTCTTAGTTTATGTGAAACAGCATTTACATCCTCACCCACCGCCTTCTTTGTACTACTTGAATACACATTACATTCTTGCTCCAATGTCTTTCAGGATCCCCCCTAGAGATTTACATACCTAAAGAATTCTAAGTGTTATGCTAAGTGAAATGAATTCAGAGAAAGACAAATGCCATATGATTTCACTTATATGTGGACTCTAAAAAACAAAATAATCAACAGAAACAAACTCATAGATAGAAAATAAACTGATGGTTGCCAGGTGGGAGGTGGTAGAACTGGGGGAAAAACAGGTGAAGGGGAATTAGCCACGAGGATGTAAAGTGCAGCAGAGGGAATATATAGTCAATAATATTGTAATAACCACGTATGGTGTCAGGTGGGTACTAGACTTATGGGGTTATATAACTGTCTAACCACTATACTGTACACCTGAAACTAATGTACTATTGAATGTCAACTGTAATAGAAAAATAAAAATAATTTTTAAAAATTCCTTCTCTCTTGAGAAAAATTAAATAATTTGATCAGAGAAAATATGCTATTGTAAGGCCACTTTTGAAGGTGTAATTCCATGGCTCATATCTAGTTATTGGACTAAATGTTTGTTGCAGTATTTCTAAAATGCAGTTAAGAGGCAATACACAGAGAGGGAAGAAACAGGTCAGGAACAAACCCAATTGAGACCCTTGACCAAGTAGGGCCACATTATTAATGCCCACCATTTGCTTGACTCACCAATCTCTGTGGAGTCATCTCTGACCAAAATGTGAAACTCTACTATATGTCTGCTTGTTTCTGAGAAAGCCTTTTCCAAAAGGAAGCAACATTTAGTTGGTGTGTATGGGACCACAAGGGCTTTTAAGATGAACTCCATCCCCATTTCACTCCACAAAGCGAATGTTTCTACCATGGGAGATCACAACTCTATGGTTCAGAAAGCTGCAAAGTAAATGCATTTAGTGGGGACCCACTATGTTTGAGAGATTTAGAAGGATGATGTGATGGTCTAAAGCTAATTGTGGGACATTATCCTACTGAAAACATAAATCCTAATAATGAAGAAAGTGTCTTGTGGACCCCTGGCTTGTGTACAGTATAGAGACCCCATGCAAAAAGCCAAAGGTCCAGGAAAGGCAAAAAATTAGTTGGAACTTCTTCAAATCTATGTAAGGTCTGACTTCTTAAGCAAGGCTATGAGACAAGTCAGATAAAGACAGATGGAAAAGGAATTTATACATGGCTGGAATGTAAGAACACCAATGATTTTTTACAACAAACAAAAAAGCACTGCATTAACACAAATGATAAAATATTAAGGAATTTTTAGATTACTCCAAATATGGGCTATCTTTTCTTCCTTAGCAGGAAATGGCTTTCCACTGATGGATTCATTATTCACCAGTTCTCTTTATGACAAGTGGCAAAATATGTACAAGAAGGCACATTAAATGGCCTAATCCAGATCGGACAGTGATCTTGGTCTCATTAGTAACAGTGACTTTTAATGATGCTATAACACGAATTATTCATCATCTTCCTTAAAAGCTCCAATATCTATTTAATATTTATATTGCAGGTACCTACTAAACACAAAAGAAGGATTGATGATATCTTCCTACCCAATGTGGCAGAAAATGTTCAACTTACAGCTTTTCAAGTTCAAACAGCTCCATCCAGAATCCCATTTAGACCCGATTGGTAATCATAAATCCTTTTCCAACTTTTATTTCTATAAGCACTTAAATAAAAGTGACTCTAAACTCCATTAACCCTTTGATCTAATAGCTATTATCAGTGCTGTGAAGATAGTGTAGAAGGGCTGACATGACTATACCTTGAATGTCCCAGGTGAAGTAGGACATGGCCTTAGATTGTAAAACGTAAGCATTGGTTTGCATAACTACCATGTGGGCCTTGCCTCTGGCCACCCAGCAGCCTCTCCATCTGGGTTCCAGAAATACTGACTAGATGAAATAGCCAGGAGAGAGGGCATTTCTACTAAGCATTATCTACTAACAAGTGGAAAACTAAAACAGGTTAATCCAAATAAACTTCCAAGCGCTCATTTCTATTTGTTTCACTTAAGAACATCATTCTCTCTTAACAGGTTTTTTATTCTTCTACAAATGCCAAAACTCTCTTCAGAGTTTTATAAATTTATAATCCACATCTTTTTATTCAGACAAGAAAATCTATCTTGGGTAAAATAATAAATAACTAGATGAATGGAACAGAATATACCAGAAACATATTTACATAAATTTATATATATATATAGCTTTTCATAATTAAGAAGGTTGAGTCTATCTGAAGTAGATTAAATCATCACCTTACACTATACACAATGAGTTTCAAATGGATTAAACATCTATATGCACATACATGTGCACATAGACATATACACAAATTTATGTCTGAAATATATAAAAAAAAAACACAAACCAAAAGCCAAAGGAATATTGATGACTTTGATATCAAAGCTAAAAATTCAACAGGACAAGATATGGTGCCAGTTACCAATTTACAAACTTCTCAGCTCCAATTTCATCTTTGTCTGCTGCGAAATAATTAATATGGATCCTGTATTTCTCCTCTGCCAACTGGCAAAATGTTAAGCTTTGTCAGTAGAGGGTGCTGGAAGGATCCTGGGGGAGAAAGAAGGGTTTCTCTCCCAGGTTCTGGGGCCTCCTTTGGGCAGGCAGGCTTCTGCAGTGCACATGGCTTCTGCAATGCCCTGATCCAATGAATTCCTATAATGGTTTTCTGACCTCATTGTTGAAGGGATAATTGGAACTTCCCCTTAAAGACTTGAAAGAAAGCTAGGGCAGTGGGCTCTATCACATCACATCTTAATTCACCACTTTGGCCTATGCAGAAAATAGATGGATCTTGGAAAATGACTAGGAACTACCAAGCCCACACCTTAACCAGGTAGTGATTCCAATTGTAATTGCTCTCCAGATGTGGTATCTTTACTGGGGCAAATGAATATGTCTCAGGCACTTGTTATGCAAATATAACAGCTTTTGCTCTACATCAAACTGCAAGGACCACAAGAAGTTGTTTGCTTTACTCTACAAGGCTACTGTATACCTTTAAATTCTTCCCTGAAAGCTTTGTCAATTCTCCTACTCTCGTGATCATTATATTCCATAAAATATATTGGTTCACTCCATCAATAATGCTGATATCATGAGCAGAAAACAGTTAAGTACTTAGGTATAAGAACTAGAGGGTGAAAGATAAACCCTACAAAAATTCAGGGTCTTTAGCCTCATGAAAATTCTCTAGGGGTTCAATGGTTGAGAGAATGTTAAAATATGCCCCTTCAAGATGAAAAACAAGTTGCTTCATCTCACTCTATGTATCATGAAAAAAAGCATGATGCTCAAAAGGCCTTTTTGGATTTTGAAGGCAACATACACCATATTTGAGTGTGATGCTTCAACCCACCTAGAAAGTCATCCATAAGATTACTGATTTTTTGTTGTTAATCCTCACTCAAGGATAGTTTTCCATTGACTTTTAGAGAGAGTGGGAGGGGGAGAGACAGAGACAAACATTGATGTGAGAAACACATCTATTGGTTGCCTCCCACAGGTACCCCAACCATGGCCAGAGATCAAGCCTGCAACCAAGGTACATGCCCTTGACTGGAATCAAAACCTGGACCCTTCAGTCGTTGGGCCGCCACTCTATCCATTGAGCCAAACCAACCAGGGCAAGATTATCGATTTTGAGTGAGGACCAGAGTTAGAAAAGTCTCCATTGTGATTTTGAGTTTCAATACAATCTGCTTTGCCATGCTCCTATGATCCAGCAATACTAAAGATATTAGAAAATGTCCTGGCATATAGGAACACTGTACAAAGCCTCTGTCAAAGCACCAGTAAGAGAACAGGCTGACCCCTAAGATTTTGAGCAAACCTATACACTCTTCTGAAGGTAACCACCCTCCTTTTGTGCCTTGGTAGACAATGCCTAACCATGGGATACTGGGTGATCATGTAGCCTGAGCTTCCCATAATAACATGGGTGCTGTAGGACCCACCTAATAAACTTGAGCATGCACAGATTGCTTTTCACTCCATAGGCATACAAAGTCATTCCTTCAACTATCATTTCTAAGGCTCTATCACAGCAGCAATCTATCATCAGTGGAAGTGGTATACATTCAACTTAGCTTGCTGCGCAGGTCTGAAAGGTACAAGTGGCTTCCATTGAACATATGGCTCAAACTATTTCAACACCAACTCCTGTTGCCTCCTCTCTCTGGACTTGGGTGTTACTAACAATTAGCTAGCCAAGAAAGAAAAAAGAGTCAAGCTTGATTTATGGATAGGTCTGCATTTGTCAGTTCAAAGCATGACTGCGTTTCTCATCCCAGCAACCCCAAGGGGTATTGGGTTGGAGGTCTTAGTTCCTAAGGGATTCTTTAATCAGGAGTACAACCATGAGTCTATTGATATAAGATCTCAGTTGAGGCTGCCAGTTGGCTGTCTTGGGATTCTTATGCCACTAAACCAATAGGCAGTAAAAGGCATTACTCTACTGGCTGGAATGGTCAATTCTGAATACACAATGTGAGAAGACAGAGGACATTATTCAAATGCTGGAAGCAAAAATGAATTTTATATATAATAAAAATACCTTTCAAAAAACTAAGGCAGACACACAAAAACTGAGTTAATCAACAATATCTGTACCATCATAACTAAAAATATTAAAGGTTAAAGGACAATCTTTAGGAAGAAGGTAAATACCAGTAGCAAATTAATGGAGAGCACAGGAAATAGTAATTACATGATTGCCAAGTACACAGGACTTTTTATCATCTAAAAAAACTATTTTGAGCCCTAGCCAGCTTGGCTCAGTGGATAGAGCATCAGCCTGCGGACTGAAGGGTTCCAGGTTCGATTCCGGCCAAGGGCACATGCCTGGGTTGCGGGCTTGATCCCAAGTAGGGGGCGTGCAGGAGGCAGCTGATCAATGATTCTCTCTCATCATTGATGTTTCTATCTCTCTCTCCTTCTCCCTTCCTCTCTGAAATCAATAAAGAAATATTTTTTTAAAAAAACTATTTTGAACCCCATTCTTACCAAAATAATAATCTGTCTCTAGCAACATTTCAGGGTAGCTTCAAGCTTGGCAGAGTTTTATATTCACCAAACTTAACCATATATAAGACTAATATGAAACCAAAAGTTCATACTTTCTATAGCAAAATTATTAAATCCAATTTTCTGGTTTTTAGGTATATAAGGGAGTATTATCTCTTCTAAGTCCAAATTCTGGGATGTAATATAGAATATAATCTTGGCCAAAACATGGACCAAAAGTACCAAACTTCACGTACTAGCCATGTGGCTTGATACTAGATATTTATACAAAGTACTCTAAACAGAAGCCCAATTTTACTCTACATGCAATTTAAACTAAAAGACAGTTACAAGCTTTTAGTTTTATAACAACAAATGGCAGTTTCATAAATTTGTTACTTGGTAGAGCTAAGTGGATGATGTCTACTGATTTGTGGAAGATCAATTTGTACATCACTCCATAGGCATACAAAGTCATCCCTCCAACTATCAGTTCTAAGGCTCTGTTCTCCACTAATGAATACATAGTTTAGTTACTACCTGCTGGTCTTGGGGAGCAATAGAAATTGAGTAGACACCCATCTTCAAACAAAGTGATAATGTAAATTCACTAGCATTAACTGTCATAATCAAAAAGCAAACACACACTTCAGTTCATTAAAAAGAACAAATTAATTCAATAAACATGTAGATTTATTTTCAATCAGTTTGGTACATGATACAGATTGGTTTTGTAGTTTTTCATGAACTAAAATAGAAATTTCTAAATACAGCAGTGTCTGCCTGTACAACAAATATTTTAAGATAAAATAAGGTATTTTGATAGAACTACATCTGCATGAAATAATCAGATGAAAAATCTGAAAAGGTTTCTATATACCTTCTGGATTAAAAAACCCAAAAATTATTAATGACTCCAGATACTAAACTGCTAAAGAAAGGAGGGGAAAAGGCTGTGAGTTCTGTTGCAAGAGCTCTTCTTGCAAAATCTAGTTTCAAGTGATATGATTTTGTTGTTAGAGCAGTATTCAAAATTACCGGAGAGGCTTCATCAGCTACATTTTCACAAAAATTGCTGTTATGTGTTGACATTAATGTGTGCCAAGGTGTTCATATCTAGGTAAATATCTGTAGCCAACTTTTGCCACTTTGGGAAGGATGGAAATTCTACATACTTTCAAATAAATTTTGCATCTTATAGTACTCACTAGAAACTAACAGCCATGGCACCATAAATACAATTTTTGTGAGGTACCTAGAATATTACTAATGAAAACAAAAATGTGAGGTAAACCTACCTTTTCCCAAAAACCTTTGAAGCCAGAGATTTTAAACAATTAAGGCACTTGAAAACATTAGGTGTACGTACAAATGTGCAAGTAAAACAAACTTTAGCTGTACCAGTAACTAAAAAATAAGTAAATCTTCATTTAAGAACCTTTAACGTAACTATTTAAATGTAAGGAATTTTGGCTTATGAAATGGACCTAAGCAACTTGTCATTTCCTACCATAAAATATTGAAAACCAAAGGTTAAACTCAGCCACTACAGGCTAAAGAAACTAAAACAAAACTTTAATGACCTAAAAAAGCAAAAGCATATTTTAACCTAATTTAAGCCTCTGAACTAATCCAATGTGTCAAAGGCAGGAGGGAGACGTATCCC